TCCCTCATCAGTCTCGTTATTGCCTTCTACGTCATCCAACCGTGTTCCAGATGTGCCAAGATACTTAATTCACAAAAAATTACCTTTAAATAATCAGAGGGAAAATTTATAGACAACCCTCTCAGCAAAAAAAGCAAGAATACCCACACTACTTCCAAAAGGTAGTTTGAATAGCGTGAAATCTTGGTCACTGGAGAGGAAATCGAAGAGCAACGCAGCTGCACCCATCCAGATGATATCAAACAGCAACATCAGAAGAGCTGTTCCAACTGTGAAGTGGAAGGAACTATCTTCAAACATGTTCCCCCATGATAAATTTCTTCCTAAAAAATCATTTTTTTTCTTCCATGGTATGAAAAAAAAGGATAGCCACCTCGATTCATGTAGTCCGCTATTCCTTTGAGAGCATATGAAAAGGCAGCATTGGGATTCAGTGAGAAAAGTGTGCAGTAAAAAATCTTATCAATCTTTGGAGCGTTAATCGGCGCTCCTACTAGTATCACCCAAACAATGATGACAACTAAAAAAAGATTAAGAGGCATTTTTAAAACTAAGGATTTTACTAATGGATAAGATACCCTATCTGTTTTCTTGCTATACCTTCACTATAATCCTGCTGTCGAATCCTTGTTCACAGAAAGAGATTGATAACTATTGCAAGGTTGAAATAGGTTATAGCACAAGGTTCAAAGTAATATGCCTAACTGTACAACTTAAAAACTTCCTTTAATTTTCCTTTCGGCAGCAGGATCATAGCAAAGGGGATCAAAAAGGGATAAATTGGAATTTAAAAAACTAACCCTTCAAAACCGTATTTGGTGCTCTAAAGATTGATGATATTAATGCAGAAAACACCACTGCTGATATTCCATATAACATGATGATACAGAGGAATAACGCGACGTTTACTGGCTGCAATCATTGAATTAAAGATGAAGATGGACACTCAAAAAGATTTAAAAAAAACATGAAGAGGTAACTTACTGCAACTGAAGAAGTATGAATTAATAAAAATTTCCACCAATCTTATATTATAAACAAATATTCAATGTGTGATCGACTACAAATGTTCAATGAATGTTAATTTTATTAATGGAAGCGAACGAAAAAGGTGATGTGACAGAAGCCATAGGCTTTTGCTGTGCGAAAAGTTAAACTGCTAGCTTTTCTTCGTAATTTCTCTCGAGATCACATAAGATGGTTATTCTGCACAACTTTATAATCATCACATTTGAATAAAAGGTAAAAAGGAAGGAAACGAAATGAAACGCATAAACTTTGATCTCCAGCCTATATAAAAAGAGGAAAAATTTCTAGAAAAAATCACGGATAAAAATTTCTGCTATGGCTCACCCCCAACATCGTAGCCAGTGGCACCGAGCATATCAGCAGAACAAACAGACATTTTATTGATGCAAAGAGCACATGAGACAAGTAAAAGATAGGCGTTGACAATCCCATAACAGAGAGGAAATCCTGAAAGACGTTTCTGATGATGAAAATAAATAACTATACAAGGAAGTTCAAGGAACTGATAAAAGAGGAAACAAGATCATCACCTTTACTGTGCTCCTTTCACTTGCTATCTCTCTCGCTGTGTGGATAACTAAAACAAACGCGCAGAGGCCCCAAACATATGAGGCTATGGAAATGAATGCAGCAATACTATTGACATTATAGGCAGCATCAGGCATACGTCTCAAGCGTAATTCCATGCTTGGTCTTACTTCAGAGGATGCTTCCTGAAGCTAAGCATTTGAATCAAACATAGGATATCAATGATTGACTTACATCTATGAAGATACTGTCAATAGCATACTGCAGCGATAGAAATGCTGATGACC